CAGCACAACGCCCGACGCGGGACTCGAACTCACGAGCTGTGAGATCATGACCTGAGCCGAAGTTGGACATCCAACCAACAGAGCCACCCAGGTGCCCCTAAAATTTTTTTTAATGTTTACTTTTGAAGGAGAGACAGAACACGAGTGGGGAGGGGCAGAGAGAGAGGGAGACACAGAATCCCAAGCAAGCTCCAGGCTCTGAGCCGTCAGCACAGAGCCCCCAGTGTGGGGCTCAAAACCACAAACCGTGAGATCATGACCTGAGCCGAAGTCAGACGCCCAACCGACTGAGCCACCCAGGCGCCTCAGGGGGATGTTTATAGAGCACCCCACCTGGAAAGAACTGAATACATACACTTTGTGTAGAGGTGGACACAGAACACGCACTACTGGTGACCTTATCTGGGGCCATAGAACAAGGCCACCAAATGCAAAAGGATGAAAGTGATACAAGATACGTTGTGTAACCGTGTGGACTCAAGTTAGAAATCAATAGCAGAGGGATCTCCAGAAAATCCCCAAATCTCAAGAAACCAAAAACACACTCATAGGCAACCCACTGATCCCAGAAGAAATCAGTAGATAAGCGAGTGTTTTTCCCAGTGTGAAAGTGACAGTACAGCACTTCCAACACTAAGGGGCCGCCAGAGCCCTCGTCAGGCAGATTTACAGTGCTGAGTGACCAGGCTTCAAGTCAGTGACCTCAGCTTCCTCCTCAGAAAACTAGAAAAATAAGAACAAATAAAATGCAAACTAAGCAAAAGAGAGAAAATGATAAACATTGGTACAGGAATCAGTGGAATAGGAAATAGAAGAAGGGTAGAGGAATCCATGAACCCAAAAGCTGGTTCTCAGAGAAGATCAATAAAATTGATAAACTTCAAAGACTGATGGGGGAAAAGCGTGAAGACACAGGTCACCAGAATCCGGGAGGAGACAGGTGACGTCACTGCGGGCTGCGGATTTTGAAGAAGATTGAGGAAGAGTCCTGGGGGACTCTTGACGTCTGACGTGTCAGCTGGCCTGGGGCCCAGGGTGTTTGATACCTAGTTCAGTCGTGTTTCTGGGTAGGATTGATGGTGGGTGGGGGCCGGGGGGGGTGGTAATCCCTCCTGGGAGGCCTGAATGGAGCAGGCAGGCCCGGAGGGACACCCCCTGCTCTACTGCCTCTAGTGGGAACATCGTCCTGTCCTGCCTTTGGACTCGGACCATCAGTTCTGTGTCTCCAGCGTGCCAGGGGCACACCCCGGACTTCTCAGCCTCTGTCAACACATGAGCCAGTTTCTTCTAAGAAATCTCTTTTTAGCTTATACATGTATGTCCTGTTGATTGTTTCTCTAGAGAACTCAGAGAGAGAGAACTCATATGCATATGTATGGGTGTGTATATGGAAGAGACCAGGAGAATGGTTCATCCCAGGAATGAGAAGCCGGTTTAACATTCCAAAGTCAGTCCGTGATATTCATCACGTTAACAGCCCAAAAAGGAAAAACCATCATCTCCATAGATACAGAAAAGGCATCTGACAAAACCCAACATCCATTCCTGATCAAAAGGCTTAGCAAACTAGAAATGGAAGGGAACTTCCTTTACCTACAAAAAACCCACACAGTGAGAGACCAAATGCACTTTTCCCATGAGGATCAAGACATGTCCACTCCTGCCACTAACATTCGACACTACAGGAGGTCGTAGACCAGTACTGCAGCAAGAAAAATAAAAGGCACCCGTATTGTGTGTAAAATCTGATGGACTCTGAAAAGAAGCTAGTGGAATTAGTAAGTGGGTAGCAAACTTGCAAGATACAAGGCCAGTATACAAAAATAAATTGTGTGTGTGTGTGTACACACACACACTAGCATTAAACACCCAGAATCAAATTTTTTAATACTATATAAGGTAGCATCCAAATGTTCTTAAACATTGGAGGTAAATGTGACAGAAGATGTGCAAGACTGTACCCCTGGAGTCCCCACAACACTGATGAGAGAAACTGTTCATGTATCAGAAACCCAAACCGGCCTCCAGACTCTGTGCCAGTCAGGTCCAAATCTCACCAGACATTTTTGTGGAAACCGACAAGCCAACTCCAAAGTCTGTATGGAAATGCACAAGGCCTAGAATTTTCAGAACAACTTTGGAAAAGAACACAAACTCGGAGAACTCACCCTGCCTGATCTGGAGACTTGTTGCAAAGTTACAACAATCAATACAGTGTGCCACTGGCATCAAGACAAACAAATGTATCCGTGGAACGGAATGGAATGCCTGGAAATAGACCGGGAATTTGGACAATTGACTGAATAGACGTGCAAAGGTGGTCAAAGTGGGGAAAGGATAACCTTTAACAAAAGGTGCCATGACAGTCGTGTCTGTGTACAGAGGTATGATACGTCACAGCCTGCACAAAGATTAACTCAAAACAGATCGTAGCCCTAAATGTAAAGCCTGAAACCATAAAATTTCTAGAAAAGCACGTGATAGAAAATCTTAATGTATTTAGGTAAGATAAAGAGTTTTTAGATAAGATGCTAAGAATGTGATCCATAAAGAAAAAATACTGATAAATTTGGACTCCAATGAAGTAAATTTTGCTGTTCAAAAGACCTGGTTAAAGACAATGAAAAGACAGATGACAAGACGGAAAATCTTTGCAAATCACATATCTGAGGAAAGACGTATTGAGAACAAAGAAGTGTGTACACTCAGTAATTGAAGAAATGCTCAACTTAAAACAACTACAAAGTGCCCAGCCAGCTTGTCGCCAGAGCATGAGGCTCTTAAAACTGAACCAAAGACGTGAACACATACTTCACCAAAGAATATACAGATCTTACTCCGCTTGCAGTGGAGTCACGTCTTGTTAAACTCAGCATAGGTTGAAAATGCCATAAGTTGACGGAGCAAACACCTAACCTACCAAACATCACAGCCTAGCCTGGTTTTCCTCAGACGCGCTCGTAACAGTGGGGCGGAATCCGCTAATGCAAAGCCTGTTGATGATAAAGCGAACACCTCGTGTAACGTACTGAGTGCTACACTCTCAGTGACAAACAGAATGGCTGTCTGGGTACAGGATGGTTGTTGACCTTGTGATCGTGGGCTGACCGGGGGCTGAAGCCGCCGCCCAGCAACACAGGAGGATCGTACCACACATACCGCTAGCCCAGGAAAAGATCCAAATTCAAAACTCCAAGTACAGTTTTTACAGAACGTGTACCACTCTCACACCATCACAAGACAAACCACTGTCAGGGACTGTCTGTATGCAAATGATAAGTCATGAAAAGATAACGTTAGTCCCTAGGGAGCACAGGTTAAAACACCGGGAACTCTGCTACGACACCGGTATTAAAATGGCAAAAACGGAATTAACGGGACCGACCACACTAAGGGTCGTGCGTGTGTGCAACAGCTGGAGCCCGGCACGGGCCGGTGGGGATGCAGAGTGGCACGGCCGCTTTCGAAGAGAATTCCTGAAGAAAGCTAGGCCTGCACTTGCCATACGGTCCAAGCGCTTCACTCGTGGCGCTGGCCCCGGCAACGCACGTGCGAGGAGTGACGCACAAGCGTTGACAACGGCGCTGTCAGTTATGGCCAACGCAGGACCAGCCCAGGGTCCGTTCCCATGCAAGTGGGTAGAGGAGTTGCGTGACGTTCTCCTGGCGCAGTGGTTCTCAGCAGTGAGAGGGGTGGCACAGGTGGGCCTCAGGACGGTTCGTCACACTGGAGAGATGTCAAAAAGTGCACGATCGAGGCTTCCGTGTACGAAGCATTCTAGGAACTGGAAGCGCTCTGTTGACAGCGGGGGACGTTTTATGAGCCCAGGAGTGTTTGTCGAATCGTGATAGTGTCGTGTGTACGTGTGACACGACTTGTCCATACTTGTCATGCCACTTTAGAGGCATACACCGCATGGGAAGGTAAATTGCTGTGTCCTTCTGGACAAAAATTTGGCAACATGTGTATAATTTCTAAGTGAAACTTTTACTTTTTAAATTTTTTTAGTGTTTGCATTTTGAGAGAGAGTAAGCGAGCGAACATGAGTGGGGGAGGGGCAGAGAGAGAGATGGAGACAGAATCCGAAGCAGGCTCCAGGCTGTGAGCTGTCAGCACAGAGCCCGGTGTGGGGCTTGAACCCATGTGCTGCAAGATCATGACCTGAGCTGAAGTCAGGCACTTAACTGACTCAGCCACCCAGGCGCCCCTCAGTGAAATTTTTAGTAACAATTTTCCTTGCAGGATTTGTCCTAGGAAAGTGATCCTGTGATGCAATCCTGTGATCAATGTGCCGAGCTGTGTGTTACAGCATTGTATGTAACAGGGGAAATTTGAAAACCAGTTCCCTCGGTCCAGGACAAACTCAGTTTATGTTTCAATTCACCCAGAACCGGTTCTTCTATAGGATTTGGAACACCACTGGTAGAGAAGCACCGCCAGCCGTTGGCGGTGCCTGAGAGGCGCGTGATGCTCAGAGTGAGTGCTAACCTGAGCTGTCCTTGGGAGGGCTTGTTTACTTTACATTGTAGAGAAAAGGGTTTTGCCTGAGGGGTTCCACAGGAGCAAGGGACCCCAGGACTTGCCTTCAGCCACTGCGGGATCTCCCTGGTAGGTGAGCAGGTGCAGCGGGGAGGATGCAGAAAAAAAATACACCTTAGATACATGTAACCCTTTGTTCTGGAGTCGCCATCACAGGATTTAGTCTGTTATATTTATTTTTGTACGGGGATTTAAAAAAACATACACCTTTTTGGCAGCTTTTTTATCAGATGCTGTGTATTTTTATTATGTTTTGAAACTACGTGACCTGTGATCCATGCAAAGACCTGTTAAGTAAATAAAACAAGTAGAATGGGGGATCCAGGCAAAAAGAAAAAAAAAAGAAATGAAAAAAGAAAAAAAAAAGTAGAACGTCAGCAGTGCTTATGTTCACTCTTCAAAGCTGTGTAAACAAACGCAAGGGTTTTTTTAAGGCTGTTTTTCTGCATGATTGTTTCTAGAATTGGAAATCCACGAAGGACCAAAGTAAACACGCAGCAAAGGAGAGGCAAGCTGGTGCCCAGGACGCACTGTGGCTGGCAGCCTTTGCCAGAAAGCCAGGTAACCCGGGTGCGTATTGCGAGGGGCTGCCTACGGGCCGACCCCTGGCACGTCCCGCTCCTGCAGAAGCGAGACGGGTCGGGAGGTGTGTGTGGTCTGACCACAAGCCAAAGCAACGAACGCTTGTCTCCACTGAAGACTGGGGACGTGAGGTTTCAGGTTAGGTCCTCGACCTGAGATGTGACGACGGGCTATTTTCGTTGACCTTTTCCAGAGTGCGTCTCCAACATGCTAGGTGATGCTGCACGTGTAAAGCAGAAAAATGAATTAAGTGGCCGGTGGTTTTGCCCTCGGCTAAGCTGATTTTCCCCACTCTGCCTGCCCGAGCTGAGGCTGTTAGAAAGAGCGCCTCAGCAGTGGGCTCTAAGGAGCCCCCCCCCCCCCCGCCTGGCTGGCAGTGTCCCGGCTGTCATGGTGGCCCGTACTGACCCGTGCTCCGGCTGTGCCTAACACCATTTCTCCACTCTGAATCCAGTAAATGAAGCCCAGATCCCCAAGGCGAGAGAAAAGGAATTTTTCAATCCCGTGCTCAATGAAAACCAGAAGTTAGCGGTTCGAAGAATTCTCAGTGGCGACTGCCGCCCGCTCCCGTACATTCTGTTTGGGCCTCCTGGAACCGGGAAGACAGTGACAATCATAGAGGCTGTTTTACAGGTAACCACAGGTGGTGACACGGCCACCAGTAAACTCGGCTCTACACTGGGCCTTCACGTCCTTGGGAAGTGCTAGCTCCTGCAGAGTCAGAAAGCGGGGACAGGCTCAAAAACCCGTTACTTCGCGTTTAGCTGAGTCTGTTCTGTATTGTTTATGGGAGCATGTAGGGTTTTCAAAGCTTATTTCATCGGTTTAGAAAGGACTCTGTTGCCCGCATATGTGAAATTTAAGGTACAAAAACAGGTGAACAGAAGGGAAGGGAAGCGAATATAATATAAAAACAGGGAGAGACTCTTAAATACAGAGAAAAAACGGGGTTGCTGGAGGGGTTGTGGGAGGGGGGATGGGCCAAATGGGCTAGGGGCATTAAGAAGAAAACTTGTTGGGATGAGCACTGGGTGTTATACGTAGGGGATGAGCCTCTGGAGTCTGCTCCTGAAATCATTATTGCACTATATGCTAACTAACTTGAATGTAAACAAATAGGTAAGTAAGCAAACAAATGAAACAAAATTTAAAAAATAAAGTGTAGCCTATCATGCCAGGCACTTAAAGATGGAAATTGTTCAGGTGGAAATAATGAATAAATAAACATATACGTATATGGAATGTAGAAAGGACTCTATTCTTAGAACGGTCAGTCGCTCTGGGGTGCCCAGCTGGCTCGGTCAGGGGAGCATACGACTCTTGGTGTTGGAGGTTGTGGGATGTCTGAGCCCCATGGTGGGGGTAGAGATTACTTAAAAAAAAAGAATCATCATTGACTCATCACATCATGAAATTTTCCTGCAGAAAATAAGTTCCCGTTACAGTAGCTCAGCCACCGTTCTGCAGAAGTTTCTGGTATTTCCATTATTTAAAAGTTGAATTGGTGGAGATCGCGTGTAGTATTTTTGTGTCATTCGGGATTCAGATTAGCAGGTGTGTGCTGAGTGTGCAGCTGGCACCGTACCGCGAGCCGTGCACACGAGAATAATCTGACGCTGTGTCTGCCTTGGGAGGGTAGCCTGGGGTCTGGGAGGACAGAGAACTCCCTCGCCTGCCCTCGTGTCTTGCTGGCATGTGCACCCGATGGGAAGAATCATCCCTGCGTGAGTCTGAGCCCACACGTGAGCCCACACGGCCAAACCCGCGTAGTGAGCTCGCGCACGTTGGCGTCAGCCTCCCGACCCGTGTCCGTACTTGGCAGGTTGACATTTACCACCTCTGTTTCTCCTGTGTCCTGGTTGAAGGTGCACCGCGCTCTGCCGGACAGTCGCATATTGGTGTGTGCGCCCTCCAACAGTGCAGCCGACCTCGTGTGTCTGCGACTACATGAGAGCCAGGTGCTGCGGCCGGGCGCCATGGTGCGGGTGAATGCCACCTGCAGGTTCGAGGAGGTGAGCTGTCCCCGCCTGCTGCCATGGAGGCCCTCCCACCCGCACCCAACTCGAAGTCCTTTCTCCTGCTGCTTCTGCGAGATGAGCATTTGCAGCTTATTAAATAGCAGCACTTCTGCTGTCCCTTTGGGAAAATTAGAAATTCCTGGTTTGCTTAACAAAAGAAACTGAATCTAGAAAACGTATGCACTTGTTTTGGGGAAGGATCTCCAGGATGTTGTGTTATATTCATGGCTCCAGAGTCTGTAGAACATGGACTAAATTGGTATGAAAATATAAAATATTTTGATTTAAGAAAACAATCTTCAGTCATTTACTTAGTTTTAATTAAGAAGTGGGACTAGGACGACATCATCTTTTAGAATTGTTTTCAGCTCTGTGACTATGTCCAATTGAAAGAAACACTTAACTCTCTGGAAAGTAAACTGACCCCCCCTCCTCCCTCCAGATGATCGTTGATGCTATCAAAGCGTATTGCAAAGATGGAGAAGACATCTGGAAGGCCTCGCGCTTCAGGATAATAATCACAACGTGCAGCAGTGCGGGGCTCTTTTACCAAATAGGAGTGAGGTAGGCACTAGGCACGGCCAGGGTCTCTGGCCTCCCAGAGCTTCTGTCTGAGGGGAGGCTGGCCTGCTGGGCGGGGGCGCAGAGAAGCCACACTCGTGCCGAGACCCCAGCGGCGAGAGGGGCCCAAGGCTGTCCCGAGGGGGGAAAGGATAAGGAAGGAGCCTGTGGCAGCTGGGGCTGCAGGAGGCTTGCAAGTAAAAAGGAACAGTACCGACTGATGAAAGTAACTTTCAGTAGGGGCCCCTGGGTGGCTCAGTCGGTTAAGCGTCCGACTCTTGATTTCGGCTCACGTCATGATCTCACTGTCCGTGAGTTCGAGCCCCACTTCAGGCTCTGGGACTCTGTACTGACAGCTCGGAGCCCGGAGCCTGCTTCGGATTCTAGGTCTCCCTTTCTCTGCTCTTCCCCTGCTCACACTCTGTCTCTCTCTCAAAAATAAAGGTTAAAAAAAAATGTTTTTTAAGTAACTTTATTTTTTTTTTTAATTTTTTTTTTCAACGTTTATTTATTTTTGGGACAGAGAGAGACAGAGCATGAACAGGGGAGGGGCAGAGAGAGAGGGAGACACAGAATCGGAAACAGGCTCCAGGCTCTGAGCCATCAGCCCAGAGCCTGACGCGGGGCTCGAACTCACGGACCGCGAGATCGTGACCTGGCTGAAGTCGGACGCTTAACCGACTGCGCCACCCAGGCGCCCCATAAGTAACTTTAAATAACTGAGGAACGCAATTGAAAACTTAAGTGCTGCTTATATTCTAAGAAAGGTACATAATGTTGCGTTTCTTCAGCAGGAATTGGGACATGGGGTAGAAAACCGGAAGCCTGCGATTTCCCCCTTTGGTCGGGAGGGACCTGTGGGTGTTGCTGTGGGGCCGCAGCCTGACTCCCAGCAGAAGGAGAAAGTCAGGGTCCAGCTCTACTTCACCGCACACCACTAGGCTCTGATGGCGGCTCTTTGGTCTCGGCCCAAAGTTTGTCCTGTCGCCAGTGGCTCTGTGGCTCCCGGCACCGTGTCCCTGCTGCAGATCTTTCTGCAGGCTGCCTGGGGCCCAGGGCACACGTGCTCTGCGCTATCCCCTGGCCCCTCCCCTCCCCTCCCTCCCCCCCCCCCCCGCCCCCGTCGGCTTGGAAGGTTGGGGTATTGTCCTGGCCAAGAGCACGCTCATGAGGGGGATCGGGGAGGGCATCAGTCACGTGGGGGAAACTGAGGCACGGGGTCACACGGTCCGTGAGTAGAGGAGCAGCGTTCCAACCAGGCTTGCCCGCTCCCCACGTGCTGTCAGTCCGAGCCTCAAGGGACCGAGGAGGGCCTGCTGTGCTGTGAGCCCCGTCGTGGAGCTGCCCGCCCCAGCCTCTTCTCAGTTGTTCCTTCCCACCCTCATCCTCTGTCCCCCTGCGTCTGTTTACACACGCACCTACATCCTGTAGAGTCCCAGATGCTGACAGGACTTCATTCAGGTCTCCTGACAGGCCCGTGGCCTGTAGTTAATCTGCCCAGGTGACACCCACCTTCCTGGCCCCACTGCCAGGCCCTGGGGCAGACGTGGCCCTGCCGTGTGAGTCGGGTGTCGCTGGCTAAGACACTTAGACAGAAATGACCATTCAGTACACCTTTGGTTCTAGAGTCGGACATTTCACACACGTGTTTGTGGACGAAGCAGGACAGGCCAGTGAGCCGGAATGCCTTATTCCTCTGGGGCTGGTCTCAGACGCCAATGGCCAGGTGAGGCCTGCTTGCTGTGGGGTTCTCATCCCGTTCCCCTGCTCTGGCGTGCGCTCTGCACACCCCAGCACAGGGTGAGACAGGTGTCACAGGGGTGACGGGCTCAGGTGAGGCACCACGGACCCCGAGGCTCTGTGACGCTAGGGCCTTGCGTGGACGAGGAAGAAAGGGCTGCTCTGCCTAGATTGATTCGCTTGGGAAACAGACTCCAAGAGCCTTTGTGCAGCCAGACAGGGACATCCAGGCGTTTCCCGGCTCACCGCCCAGGGTTCTGACCCCTCTGCTCCCCCCCTGCCCCTTGCTGCTAACCCCTTTTATCCCAGGCTGATGCTTTGGCTCTTTCCTACTCAACACCTGTTGCTTCCTCCAGCACTCCCCCTGATGGTGACCTGGGGTCCTCTCAGGCTTCCCTTGGCCCTCTCCTCTGCACACGTCCGTCACTCAGGAGGGCTCTTCCTAGCTTCTCCTGGTCCCCTAGACACCTGCCTCCTCCCATCCTGATTGCCTGGTGTGGGGGCAGCACAGAGAGCAGGGAGAAGACCTTGTTCAGCTGCAGCGTGGGCCGTGGGCGGTGGGCATGGGCCAGGGCCCGCAGGCAGAAGGGGAAGGGGCACAGCGTGCACTTCCAGGGTACAGAGACAGAGGCCACCCAGCCACTTTGTTCTTCACATCCTGCCGCCCTCATCTGAGCTTCTGCCACCTTGCTCGGGCAGCCGTGCTGCGTCCCCCGTCGTCTGGAGCCCAAGTGATGGTGGGGGCCGGCCGCCTCCCAGCCTGCCCTCAGGGAGCCTCAGCCAGCCCGGCCACCAGAAGGCGGAGGCCAGCCTGGTGCACACGTGGCTGACCCACTTCCCAAACCTCTCCCAGCTGTGGTTGCGAGTCTGTGTCCCTGCACTAGTGTGGGTGCCCGCCTGTGTGCCACAGATTGTCCTTGCCGGAGACCCCATGCAGCTCGGCCCGGTTATCAAGTCCAGACTCGCCATGGCCTACGGGCTGAATGTGTCTATGCTGGAAAGACTGATGTCTCGGCCGGTGTATATGAGGGACGAAGACGCTTTCGGTGCCTGTGGCGCCTACAACCCCTTGTTGGTAAGCACAGACTCCCCGTGGCACGTGGTTCCTCATGGCCTTCCACCCCAGTCCCCGTGCGCACTGAGCTCACACTCCCCTCCCCCATCCCAGAAGGGACTTTGCCAGCACCTCTGTCCCAGTAGCTCAGCCGTTCCAGGCAGTCCCGTCTAAGGCTGATGGCTGAGGTTCTGTGGGGCCAAACACGAGAAGAGTTAAATCTGAGTTAATGTGGGAAAACGGGAAAGAGCCTTCTAGTTCATAGTCTGAAAGAAGAGGCCATGTCTCCTTCCTGTGGTGCTAGTTTGCTGGTTAACCTGCAGATTCCCTTCTCAGCCAGACTGTGACCGCTTCAGAGGGATGGGCCTTGGAATCTGCATTTTAGCCCCCTCCCCCGCAGGAACACTGGAGTTTGGGAGCCTTGGGTCTCTGGGGTCCCTCGTTAAAGTGAGCCAAGTAGCACATTCTGTAAGTTCCTGCAGCACAAAAGGAGAGTTCCTTCTAAACTTTAACAGTAAACAGAAAGGAGGCGTGGTGATCATGGGCAGGTTTTCCTGGAAACGGCTTGGGACCTGTGCCAGGCAATGGGCCCTCAGGCCCTTTACCCACCTGGAGAACAGAGGGGGCAAGACAGCAGGGGAAGTGGCATGGGCTGGGGAGAGCTGGACCCTCCGGAGGTGCTGAGGGCCGTGGAAGACTGCCCCAAGGCAAGCCCAGGGCAGCAGTGGGCTCATGCCAGCCCAGACTGGGCAGCGAAGAGCGCCCTGCCTGTGGGAGACGCATGTGCGCCCCCTGGCGTCCACATCCCCCCCCACCCCCCCACCCCCGCGCCCCCCCCCCCGCCCCGGGCTCACAGGCAGCAAAGCCTCCTCTGCCTGACAGCGCGGCACCTTCCTTCTCCCCAGGGCGCCTAAAGCTGCAGCGAGTTTCTGGGGGCAGAGGGCCTCTCTCGCCAGGTGCTCTACAGGCCGACACAGGGCCTGGCTTGGGGTGCAAGGAGCTGAGATGCCAAATTGAGTTTGAGTTTGGGGCTTTGATTAGCATTTTGGAGGCTGAACACGTTGTAGTTGCAGAGCTGAAATTTGTCACCATGGATCAACAGAAAAGTCCTGGGGCCTACCGGGTTCTCACCCCGGAACGAGGGAAGACCCCCTCCACCAATGAGGCCCCAGGCCAGTTGGAGGCAGGACACAGGTCACTCTCGCTCTGTGTGCTGGTGACGTCACCAGCGGCTCGCAACAAGGTCCCAACCAGGCTTCAAGCCGGCTGTGGTTTAGGGGGATGTGCCCTTAGCCACGAGGGCCCCACGGTCCAGGAGCCAGTGGCTGCCTGCAACTGACATGAGACCAGGCTTCATGAGTTCGTAGAAAGACCGGGGCTGCGGGACAGTGGCTATGGAGGGGAGTGTGTGGCCGGATGCACAACCAGCCCCTCCACCCCTGAGGGAGACCCCTCAGCTGTCTGGACTCGGGGGACCATCGAGTAGCTTTCTCCTCTTCTCTTTTCCTGACGATCACCTTCTCTGTGAGAGCAGGCCCTTGAGCCTACCCGTGGGTTCAGAGGGGCTCGCTCACGAGCACTGCACTTCTCAGCAAACCCGTGTCATCAGGTCCGTAGGTCCTGGGGCTTTGCAGTCCAGAACGCGTTTTCCAGGTGAAGAGCTCTCCTGGCAGCAACAGTGCATTCCTGTCGAGTGGTGGACACTAAAATCCTTGGGACAGAGGATGCGTTTTTCATGCTTAGTGCCAGTGAGGAGTCCAGTGGGGGCAAGGGCGCCTCGGTGGCCAGTGGGGAGCCCAGCCTGGGCACTCAGCACAGCCACAAGCAGGCGTCACAGGCAGCACTGAGCATGTTCCTGCCTCACTATCAGGTCCCAGTCACGGCCACAGCCACCACAGCTGTGGGAGCCTCCAACCGTGCTGCGGAGCCACACAGATGCCAGCAGGCCACCAGGTGTGGTTGGCCTCCCCTCCCAGCAGCTGCCCTACCACCTGATTTGCCAGGGAGCCTCCCTCCCTCTTGCCGGGCCCTGGCAAGCAGGGCAGGATGGCGGTGCGCCCCCCGCCTGCGGCGTGGTGGTGGGATCAAAGCATGGGGCGCCCGGTGGGAGGCTGAGATGGCGAGCAGGCGATGCCTTGCGGGAAAGCGGCGACACCCGGGAAGCTGTTGGGCCCAGAGACGGGGGAGCCACAAAGAAGAGGAGGTGGGTCGAGAAGCCTTGAGCCAAACCAGTCCAGGGGGCTGGGGCAGGGAGGGGGCGAGAAGAGCGGGTTAAGCGTCTGACTTCAGCTCAGGTCACGATCTCACAGTTTGTGAGTTCGAGCCCTGCGTCGGGCTCTGTGCTGATGGCTCGGAGCCTGGAGCCCGCTTCAGATTCTGTCTCCCTCTCTCTCTGCCCCTCCCCCCCTCGCTTTTTGTCTCTCCGCCCCCCCCCCCCCCCCCCCCGGAAAACATACACTTGAAAAAAGAATGCACTCTTCCTAACGAGCCCTGAGAAACGTAGGAAACTGTCAAATAGTTATATCGTACACCTGAGACTAATATAACCCTGTACGTTGATTATATTTCAATTAAAAGAAACCAAACCCTCTGTTCAAAAAGTCGTTAGAGGTGCGGGAGCACTTCCTGAGGAGCTGGCAGGTGACAGGCCAGGAGAGGGAGGACAGGCAGAAGCAGGCACCCCCAGGGCTACAATCTGAGATGGGTCTCGGCATTTCTCCTTTTGACAGAAGTGTGACACGCGTGTGCCAGTTTGGCTCTGGACCCGTTTCCATCTCTCTCTTTGCAGGTGACAAAGCTCGTGAACAACTACAGATCCCACCCAGCTCTGCTGGCACTGCCATCCAGGCTGTTCTACCACAGAGAGCTCGAAGTGTGCGCAGACCCCAAGGTGGTGACCTCCCTGCTGGGCTGGGAGAAGTTACCGAAGAAAGGCTTCCCGCTCATATTCCACGGCGTGAGGGTGAGTCGTGCGCCGAGAGTGGTCTAGTGGCCGCGTGAGCCCTCAGTGCTGTTCGTGGGTCTGTGCGTGTTCATCACATGTGGTTTGTTCAAGTCCGTTGTTAGTGGGGCATTCACCAGCTGCCAGTGGGCAGATGGCCACGCTGATGCCGAAGAGTAGAACCAGTAAGGAGGGCTTCTCCCCCTGCAAGGCCGGCCCGTCGGCCACTCAGGTGACTATACACAGAACAGCCTCGGAAGTGCTGGCCCAAGTGGGCACTGGAGGGTGGAGGGGCCTGAAGGCATCGTGTGACTGAGGGGGAGGCTGGGGCGATGCGGAGCTGGGGGAGCTGGGGGAGGCCCCGTGCCCACCAAGAAGGACCGCACCCCTTGTGAGCCTGTGTCAGGCGAGGGGACTGCTGTGGTGTGGGGACACCTGCCCGTCACCATGGCCTCACCAGGTGGGGGGCTCCCCAGTAGGCAAGAGCTAGATGCTCAGTAGCCCAAAAAGTGCCAACTGTGCCCTAACATCAGAGACTCCGTATTGAAATTTGGTTGTTGTTAGAACCAGAAGTCATCTTTTGCATTAACTGCCCCCGAGTTCTCATCCAGAATTGGGGCTGTGCCCCAACCCCGGGACAGGAGGCGCCGGTGGGGCTGGGGGTGCGTGAATCCAGGTGACGGTGCCACTGCCGTGTGCTCTCTCAGAAGTGGATGGAAGGGGGTGGGGTTGCATGTTCAGCTGTGGCTGTGGAGGGGCTACCCTTTGGACAAAAGAGAATTCAAGGAAAGAGACCAGTCCCTCTCAGCTTGAGACACTCGCCACAGAGCCCTGTTGACCAGTGCTTTCTCCCAACCTCGTATGCCGGTCCCCCTTCCCGGGAACATCCTGCCCCTCTTCTGTCCGTCCTCCGAAGCTTCCCTGTATGTCAGAAAAACAAGTTAGAAAATGTAGCAGAAAGTGTAGAAAATGTCGGAGATCTCCCTGACATTCGCTAGACTTCAGCCTAAGGAGAAGTAAGCAGGATTGCTGCAGGGAGAAAACTGGACCCGAGCGTGTGAAGTGAGACAGGTGATGTTCATGAACAGACAGGCCAGTGTTGTTCTGCCTAAATTAATTCCTATATTTAATGCATAGAAGTCACAATGGGTTTTTTCATGAGAAATGAATGGATTATAAACGTGCAGATGTGTTTTAAATGTGCAAAAAGTGTTTGTAGCAGAATGAGATACGGAGCCAGTTAGATATACTACAAGCAATAGCCAACAGAAGCATACTTGCAGACTCAAAAACAAAAAACAAAAAACAAAAAACATAGGCAGTGAAACAAAGTCCAAAAACATTTATTTAGTAAGAATTTCTCAAGGGCCTACTTGTGTCCCAGGCTCCATCCACTCTGGGCCCTGAGCATAAAATGGGTGATGAGGCCTCGGGCTGGGTTGCGGAGAACAGTGACTGCCATCATTTGAGCAAAAAGGGTTTGGCCTCAGGGCTGCTGTCAAGGCCTGCCCCTTGCACTCCCTCTGCACCCTCACCCCTGGCTCCTGCAGGCCGCTCCAGTCCCCGAGATGCGAGATGCGACGGCAGGCCCCCTCCCTGGCAGGTGACCCCCTCGTTGAAGTGTTACCTTGACTGACAGCTTCCCCTGCGGAGGCTCTGGAAGGACCTCTGTCTGACTCCTGCTCCGTTCCCGTGCCCAGCACGTCTCAGCAGAAGGAGCACAGCAGAACGTGCCGCGTGAACATCGTGGGGCAGGGCTGAGCCCCGGGGCGGCCCGGGAGGAGCCACCAAGGTAGCTGTGGTCTTGTCCTCCTAGAGAAACGGTCGGAAGCCTGCACCGCGGTGGACAGGTGGCTGCTGCCGTGGCAGAGTGGAGTAGGACAGCATAGCCCTCTCAGAGCCTGGGATACTTTCTGGTCCCTGACAGGAGAGATGTGACAAGCCCTGGTCTAATTGAAAAGCCAACTTCGGACTGACTTGCATTTTCTCCGCTTTGTTTCGTTGCTTCGTTAATCTTGCTTTGTCTTTAATCATCCCCCTGCTAACGTGCGTGTCTATTTTGTTTGTTGTAACTCCTCATCCTCCGAATTAGGCAGATGCCGGGGATGCCGACCTGTACCTTCCTTTCCACGTGTGTCTGCTGAGGGATCTTCTTTCACAACTTTCTGGACATTTATAACTTTCTCTTTCTTCTCTTTTTTTTGATCCAAGGGTTACAGAGAAGTATTTTGTTCTTAATTTTCAAGTGGCTGAGAATTCTTTGGCCACCTCTTTTTTGTTGTTTCTAATTTTATTAGGTGCCCAAGAACAATGGCCTGTAAACTCTCTGCTTTTAAAAATTTGCGGCCAACTAGATATCAGGTTGGGTACATACTCTGAGGACATACCCCCGAAAGGTATAGGCTCTGTTTGAGGGATGCAAGTTCCGCGTATATTTTTAAACAAACGTTTGGAGTCTGTGGTTCAGCTCCCCTGTGTCCTGATGTCGGCACGCCCGCGGAGGGAGAGGCGCGGTGAGGTCTCTCGTTACAGTTGTGCCTTTTTATCAAGTCCTCTGTGAATTCCAGTCGCTTCTGCCTTAGGGACTTAACTGCCGAGGTGTTTCCTGCATACGAGTCATGATTGTCTTCCTCCTCATGTTACGTTCTCCCTGCTGTTTCTTGTCTCTCGCCTTCAATTCCATCTGGTAACTCACACTAATGTCGCCGCTGCTTGTTTCTTTTTATCTGGTGTCGCAGCCCTTCTTTTTGTCTCTTCATCATCTTACCGTACGTATCTTTCTTAGAACAGCTCATTTTCACGTTTAACCCAGTTTGAGGGTCTCTGATTTTAATGAGATGAGTCAGTCCAACCTATGCTTTCTTACCTTTATTCCTTCATTTTCACCTTTATTACCAATTTTCATGGTTTCTTCCTGTTCCTTATTTTTTGTAGGTGATTGGTCGCTATTCGGCGTTTTTTCTCTTTCAGCAAGTTCTTGCCTAAGCACCATCATGCGGAAATTGTTTGTAGTTCTCTATTGTCAATCTCAAAGATAAATTACAGGGCAGCTGGCTGGCTCTGTCAGAAGAGCATGCAACTCTTGATCTCAGGGTTGTGAGTTCAAGCCCCATGTTGAGTGTAGAGATTACAAAATAAACTTTGAAAAAAATTAAAAAGGCGCCTGGGCGGCTCAGTCGGTTGAGCGTCCGACTTCAGCTCAGGTCACGATCTCACGGTTCGTGAGTTCAAGCCCCGCACCGGGCTTTGCGCTGACGGTGCAGAGCCTGGAGCCTGCTTCGGATTCTGTGTCTCCCTCTCCTTCTGCCCCAGATAAATTACGTACGGCTTAACAACAGCAAAAAACATCCTCAAGGTTAATACAGTCCAATTGCTGTGTCTGGTATTCTCTGTTTTTTTAATTGTGCCAAAATAACATGTGACATAAAATTTAGCCATTTCCAAGTGCACAGTTCAGCAGTGTTAAACGTATTCACATTGTTTTGCATCCAGTTACTAGAACTTTTCCATCTTTCCAGACCGAAACTCTGTCCCCATTAAACCCTCACTTCCCCTCCCGCTCCCAGGCCCCTGGCGCCCACCACCTGCTTTCTGGCTCCGTGAATCTGACTCCTGTAGGTGCCTCATATGATGGAGTCTTCCAGTATTGTCTTCTGTGATGGCTTATTTCACTCAGCACAAAGTCCTCAGGACACGGGTGTGAGAAGTTCCTTTCTTCTTAAGGCCGAATAACATTCCATTGTCTGGATGGACCGTCTTTGGTTTATCTGTCCATCCACTCACGGACACTTGGGTCGCCTGCACGTTGTAGCTGTTGTTCGGAATGCTGCAAAGTACAGGCATACGGTATGTCTCTGAGACCCTCGAGTGGGATTGCTGGATCACATCGGATTTCCGGTGTCGTTCTTTGAGAAGCCGCCACACCGTTTTCCACAGTGACCGTGCCGATTTACATTCCCGTGGGCCGTGCACAGGGGTCCGGTTTCTCCACATCCTCCCCAACACTTGTTTTGTTTCTTCGTAGAAACCATGTGTGAGGCGGTTCTTCTTCGTAGAAACCATGTGTGAGGGGGACCTTGTGGCTCTCACCTGTGTCTCCCTGATTATCGGTGACGCTGAGCACCTGTGCGTGCGTGTGGGTCGGAGGCACGCTCCTTTGATGGCTGGCTGAGAGGGCCCGGGCCTACACGTGGGGAGGGAGGGGGGGCCCGAGTGCGTGCTCACCTGCCTGACTGCAGCCGGCCGCCGCCCTGCAGGCCCCGTGGTCTGCTCTGGCCCCGGCTCCCAAGGTTTGGGCCGCACCGGTTGCTTGTGCCTGTTTGTGGCACGCCCTGTGGCTCCCCGGCAGGGCCCGCATCCCCGCCCTCGCCAAGCACCCTGCTCTCTTTGCCTGGCAATTCCTGCACGTGCATCACCGCCCATCCACTCCTGTCGGCAAATCGCGGGCCGCCCCCAAGCAGCCCTTCTCCGCCGGGGCCCTTGCTGCGGCCGTGGCGGACGTGACCGTGACCGAAGTTAGTCTGCCCACCGCAGTGGGAGGTCTGCAGGAGCGCGGGCGTACTTTCTGCCTCGCGCGTGCCGTATCCCGACACCTGCTCTGCTCCTTCCTTGTTCACAGCCCCCTTCCCAGCACCTGTTGAGGAAATGAAGTCTGGGGGCTGGGTGTGCCATTCTCTTATCTCCGAATTGTAACTCAGGGCAGCGAAGCTCGTGAAGGCAGGAGCCCGTCCTGGTTCAACGCGGCCGAAGCCGTCCAGGTCATGCGCTACTGCTGCCTCCTGGCCAGGGGCATCTCCAGCCAGGTGTCTGCAAGCGATATTGGTGTGATCACACCCTACCGGAAGCAGGTATGGGCCTGCCCACCTCTCCTTTGAGCTGTCGCATTCACAGAGTCCGGAAGGCGGGTGGAGACCAGCTCCCTCAGGGGGCACCAAGTCCCTCCACAGCCGCTGCACCCCCGGCCTCCCCGCACCCCCGCTAGCCTGCCCCACACCCGAGTCCTGGTGCTCGGACCCTCAGACCCTGCTCCCAGGGGGCTGGGGCGCTCCATCTGGGCTTACCTGGCAGTGGGAGCGGGCAGTGGGCCACCATCCGCGTCCTCCTGGGGGACAGTCAAGCTTCCCCCTAGCACTGAGCTTTCGTCTTCTGCGCACTTTTCTCCAAGGTTGCAAACTGGTTTTTACTTCACCAGCACCCATTGGAGACCTTGGTCTCTAGACACACAGTCCAGAACCCAGCATCCTGCTTCTGTGACAGCCGTTCCCATTCCCCCAGGAGCTGGCTCTTTCACAAAGACGTCTGCCCCTGCCTTCCGGCTGCTGTTGTGCAGAGTCTGCTTCCGGGCCTCTGTCCAGCCCCTCAGGCCCCTGGGGTGTGGCGCTCTGGAGGCTGCCCGGCTGTGGGTCCCAGCACCGTCCCCACTGAGATGGCCAGGCCCGCCCAGCAGCAGGCATGTGCACCTGTGGGGAGAGGGAGACGTCACTCCAGACACTCTGCCCCCTCTCCCTTTCCCCAGTGCACTGTGTCTGAAATCAGAATTTGTGTCCTAATCAACTTAGATGAAATATGATTTGGAAGTGATAAGCAACAGTGCATGTTGGTTAATATCTGGCTTGTGCTTAAATATGTAAAGAAATGGTCAGATTTGTAAAGTTCTGTCCTTTTTTTGTCTGCTTCAAAGGTGGAAAAAATCAAAATTCTTTTGCGAAATGTTGATCTGATGGACATAAAGGTTGGATCAGTAGAGGAGTTTCAAGGGCAAGAATATTTGGTCATCATCATCTCCACCGTAGGTATTCCTGTTTTGAGTGGGGGTGACGGTGTGTGTGACACCACCTGAGGTTCATGTCCTTCTGGTCGAAAGCGGCGGAGGCTGGTCGGTAGCACAGGCGACCACTGGCACGACGGAGATGTTCCAGAGCCCTCTCGAGCCGTAACTGCAGGGAGCTCTTTAGAAGACGCGACACCTGCAGACAAAAAAATAACCGAAATCCAGCGAGAAGCAGTAAACGTGCTGGTAAAGGTCCCACACGCGGGCCACGGTGGCTCGGTGCTGCCGCCCCAGGAGAACCCGCTGTGACTCTCAAAACTCCATGTTTGTACAGAACGTGTGAGCAGCAGATAAGTTAGGAAATTCAGACACGACGATGGAAGTCAGAATCACCTACCACTCTACACCCAGAGATAGAGAGTCTCCTGTGTAGACGATGGCGACGAGGCTCCCTCCACACCACTGGTGTTTTTTTCCTTCTTTAACTAAAAATGGGGTTCTGCTGATGTTTAACAGTTTTAAATGCTCTTAAATATCGAGTTTCTTTCCATGCCAAAAAAATGGATACGATACCGTTTTTATTCATTTTCGTGTTTTTTAGGTGCGGTCAAATGAAGACAGGTTTGAAGACGATAGATATTTTTTGGGTTTCTTGTCCAACTCAAAAAGATTTAATGTTGCAGTCACCAGACCCAAAGCCTTGCTGATTGTGCTGGGAAACCCTCACGTGCTGGTCAAAGTGAGTCTGCCGAGGAGGGAAGGGCCTGGGTAGAAGGCGCCGCTTGGGACGGCTTGGGGTTTTGAGGCGGGCTCTTCGGTCTTTCAACAGGACCCCTGTTTTGGTGCATTACTGGAATACAGCATTACGAACGGTGTCTACACGGGGTGCGATCTACCTCCCGAACTGCAGTCACTGCCGGAGTGAGCTCTGTGTCTGTCCTCTAGCTTTTGCCCTGCCCCTCCCTGCCAGCCCACCTCATTCACCTGCTTTCTGTCCAGTGTTGGGATGATGCAGATCGCTTGGGGTCCCTGCAAGAGGCCACAGCCCCCAGGCCTCCAGCCTGAGCTGCTGTGGGGAATCCCAGCTCACTGGCCCCCTCCCCTTTCCCCACGTGCAGCTGTGGCTAGACATGCGCCCCCAGGACCGGATCCACAGCCACAGTTGGTAAGGCAGGGCTGCTGGGCCTGGTGCCATACCACAGGGAGCTGCTGTCCCCGTCTCTGTGCTGGGGCCCCTGCAGCCTGCCTTGTACCCTAGCCTTGGCCGTGAGCGCAGGGGCCACGGGGTCCGATGGAACCTGCTATTCCCACACCAGCCCATTCCCGCCACTGAACGGTTACTACAACCCATCACCAAAATAAACGTGCACATGGGACACCTGGTGTGGCTTTCCGGCTCGAAATGCACCGGGTGCTGGGAAGCAATTGTGCTTCCGTGTGGCCTCTGATCCCTGCAGGCTCACAGACATTCTCCGGGTCCTCGAGCCAGTGTTCCCTCCACCTGCCAGCCGTGTAGAGCCCGGGGCCTCTATGGGGCTTCTGTCTGGGGATGGGTGGCCATGCAGAAGTGGGGTCAGCATCCCACTCACCCAGAACCCTGGTACAGCTCGGTGGGACCCGTCCCCTCTGGCCAAGAACGTGGCCCATCTGTGCAAATCCTCGGGGACCCATTTCTAGGAAGGGCAGGCAGCATTTACACATTGGGGTCTGCGCCTGTGTGAACAGCACCAGGCTTGGGGACCCACATACCCAGGAGCCCAGTGAAGGCATGAAGTCTCTGGCCGTGCCTCCCAGTGAAGTTGGGGGGTGGGGGGAGGGGTGCACAGCAGCCTGCACAGGAGACAGGATGAGCCCTGGGTTCCGCGATGTCCAGACAGACACCCTCACCGTCCATGAGAAGCAGACCCTGAGACACTGAGGCCCATGACCCCCAGCCCTCGTGCCCAAGAGGACTCCCCACATGAAGACACAGGCCACTGCGTAGACACGGGGGCCTGCGGTGGCTGTACCACTCCTTACTGAGGCTCCGAGTCCCCCTTGTGTTTAGAATACATGACTGCTTCCTCCAGGAAGGCAGCTAGGATGATGCCCTGCATGGGGAGTGTGTGGAGGCCCAGGCAGGGCCCACCCCACGCACACCAGACATTGAGGCCAGCTGTTCCCAGGAAGAGTCAGACATGACAGGGCAGCAAGCAGCCCGGGGGCAGGTGGGGTGGGGGTGGGGTTGCTGCTCCGCTGTCCTGCCCAGGCCAGAGGCCAGCAGTGCAGGTCCCAGGGCCAGGCCTTGTCGCCAGAACATGGGGTTCTTGGGTGCTCACCGCCCCTCCCGGGGACACCTACTTCCAAACTCCCCCTTCCCACGGTTCAGGGGCCTGCCCCATTGCGGCGTCTGCTCCTGGAGGCAGATGGGGATACTCCTCTGGCTGTGTGAGGGCTCCTGCTCCCTCCCAGACCTTCACACCGGCCTCCTGAGGGTCTGGGCCTTGGGCGGGTCCTCTGCTCACTCCCAGGGTCTTTTGCCCAGGCAGAGCACTCCGGAAGGGTCTGTGTGTCTTTTCTCAACTTTGGCTTCAGGATCTGGGGAAGGTGCCCTGGGAGCTGGTCGCTGGTGGTGGTTCTGGAACCCTGGATGCTCCTGAATAAACCAAGAGCAAACAGCTGTTTGGGAGTGGAGGCAGCCTGACCAGAAACTGCCTTGCACACTCACTTCTTGGGCAGGGCGGGGATCACATGCATAAAACACACTGAGAGCTGGTCTGAGCGAGGGACCGAGTTCTCTGGTCGTGGAGCACATCTTCACAGGGCGGGAGCAGAGGCCAGGCCTCGGGGACGTCTGGGACTTGTCCCTGACGCTCTCTGTGCGGAGGCCCCGCCCTGGGGAGGCGAGCCTGGGGTCCAGACCTCTGTGCGTGCCTGCCTGTGACAGCCCCACAGGCTGATGCCCTGCGGCCTGTGGAAGGGGCTTACTTGTGGCCCGTGCGGTCCCACGATGCCACCCAGAGTTGTCCTAGAAATGGGATATGGGTGCACAGGCCCCTGTCCCGCACTGCTTATGCTACTCCAGGGGCAAAAGGGGCAGCAGTGAACGCGTGGGACCCAGTGCCCTTCTCTGGGCCTCAGGGACCACTGTTCCACAGGAGCTGCCAGAGCCTCATCAAGCAAGCGGTTGGAAACCTTCGTGGGTCAGTGAGAATTCTCTGCTCTCAGGCAACACGGGGCAGCGACCTCATGTACAAAGTGCCATCAGGGGTAAAACGATCAAGGATTTCTGGTGGCAACAACAGTATCGGGCCCAGCTGGGGCCTGGGCGGCGGCTCGAGTCCCCGCCAGGGGGGGGGGGCCCCGGGGCGGGGGGGGCGGGGCCCGCCCCCCCCCCCCCCCCCCCCCCCCCCCCGTCCTCTCGCCCCCTCCCCCCACCACCAGCCAGAGCCCAAGGCTGTGGCAGGAAGAGGGAGCCATGCAGCGGGAAGGAAAGGGAACCGGCCACGGGGAGCCCGAGCTGTGTCTGCCGCAGACCCAAACCAGCCTTGCCAGAGACACGCCCTTCCTCTGGAATCATTGAACTCAGATCCACGTGAGACACCGGCCCCTCAGAGGCTGCAGGTGGGCAAATGAGAATTGTTGGTCCTGCAACGGACAAGGGCAGGGCGGGAGGGGAGGAAGATAAGACCTTCCCCACATTGGGGGTCCCAAGGTCACCTCAGGGCACTAATCAAGGCTCTGTCCCTCAGCCCACTGCTGCCGCCCTGGAGATCCCGTCCTCCCGCTTTACAGGTGGGGACAGGGGCCCCAGTGGTGCAGCCCAGAGCCCATGCTGGCGCCCTGCCCGAGGATGGGGCTCTCCTGACCCCAGACCCCTCACACTTGGGTGCTGTGGGTCAGCTGGTGGCAAAGGGGCTGCACCCAGGAACAAAGCTGTCGCGACAGGAGAACATGCTGGTGTTGCTGCTTCAAGAAATACCCACTTGTGGGGGTGCCTGGGTGGCTCAGTCGGTTGAGCGTCCGACTTTGGCTCAGGTCATGGTCCCACCGTTCATGGGTTCAAGCCCCATGTCGGGCTCTGTGATGACAGCTCAGAGCCTGGAGCCTGCTTTGGATTCTGTGTCTCCCTCTGCCCCTACCTGCCCCCTCTCAAATGTAAATAAACAGAAAAAAAAAAAAAAAAAAAAAAATTAGTTTTGGCCTCCTGCACTGGCTGCCCCAGAGCCAGGCACTCTGAGTGGCCTCATGGGACAGCTGCTGGAGCCCCAGTGCCACTGCCCCCTGGCCCCACCCCCACCCCCACCAAAATCACACCCACTGGGCCTCACCCTTGCCCCTCCTCGCCAAGGGGCCGAGTTTTCCTCTGTTGCGTCCCCACCCCCGAGACTGTGGGTCCAGAACTGACCCTTCACTCCCACCCACACTGCGTCCCAGGGCTGCAACCCCCTGTCGACCCTCCCCGCCCCCCCCCCACCGAAAGGTCTGCACCTGCTCAGCCCTGCCCGGCTCTGCAGTGACTGGATGTCCACGCTTGCAAGAGGCCACAGGTGCGGGGCTTGTACTGTGGAGAGGCAGGTGCCAGAGCAATCAGGGTCCTGCAGGCAGCCAGGAGCTGGGCTGGCGTCGTGCAGGGCGGGTGTCCCAGGCCAGGATGCTCTTCAGCAACGGTCCAGAGGGGTTATCGGGGGTGGTGGGAGACCAGGTGGGGTCATTCTGCAGAGGACTCGGTGCACCTGGGCAGGAGGGCACTGAGTGCAGCTTCGCTGGGCCTGGAGCAGGCAGGAGACGGGGTGGGAGGCCAGGTCCGGTGACCAAGCCGGAGGCTCTGCTGAGCACAGGATAAAGCGCATGGGGTCTGCCCTTGACAGAGTCCCCGCCTACAGGAGGCCAGGGCACCTACAGCAGCGAGGACTCCTGGGGAAACTGAGCGAAGAGGTTCCTGCAGGCAGGTACACTGGGCTTAAGTTCTGTGCTTGGGGATCCTGGAAAGGAAATTTGGAAGCCGTGTACTGTCACTTACTTTAAGTTGCCTACCGTTTCTCTTGTTTAAGACTACTGGTTCCCAGCACGTTGTAAGTGCCCCAGTCCACTTAAAAAGGACCCAGCAAGTTGACCCTTTGTGGCTGGATGCTCTGCCTTATTCCCCCTTCCCGTAGAACTTTGCCCGCCCAAGCATATCCATGGCAAAATGTACTGGGTTGAACGTTGAGGGCATCACAGACCGTCTTCTCCGGGGCACGCGGTGTGTGTGCCAGCCGCCCACACCCCACAGATGCCCCAGGCATGAGCTTTGGCTCCTGAAGAATGAGCAGAAATGACAAAGGTGTGAAGCTGTACCCCTGGGACGGTGGCTGCTAGTCCCCAGAATGAGGGGACAGACAGGAACAGAGCTCCCAGCCAGCCCATAGTCAGTGTGGGGTAGAATGACCCTGTGCTGTTTTGTTGGTTCCTACCTGGCCTCTTGCTCACTCTCTGTTTCTTCTCCAGACCAAATATGTGTATTGAGGCAGCCATTTGTGGGTTTTTTTTTTTTTTTTAATGCTTATTAACTTTTGAGAGAGAGTGGGGGGGAGGGAGCAGAGAGAAGGAGACAGAGGGTCCGAAGCAGGCTCTGCGCCTGACAGCCCAGCCCGGGCCTTGAACTCACGTGCGGTCAGATCATGACCTAAGCCAAAGTCAGATGCTCAACCGACAGAGCCACCCAGGCCCCCACCCACCCACCCAGCCATTTGTTTTCAAGTTAATTTTTCTTAGTAATCTTTACACCCAACGTGGGCTCCGACTCTGAGCCCCGAGATCAAGAGCTGTGCACTCTTCTGACTGAGCCACCCAGGTGCCCTGAGAGAAACACTAGTTTTGATCCGTGAAACCGTAAGACTGAACCTGGTAACAAGAAATTCACCAGGATTCTTGTTCTTTAGTTACCGTAAGTACTTAATCAAAATGACACACGTGTGTTGTAGGTGTTCGTGAGTAAACGCAGAAGTAAACTTGCCCTGGGAAGGCATCGGTTAACACGCTGTCCGTGTTTGTGGCAGAGCACGGCTTACAGCTGCAGTAAGGGTCCATCATTACTTCGGTTTCTGGTTTCTGGTTTTGCCTTTACAGAGATGACTGGATTAAACGTTGGCCACAGTACTGTCACTCGATCTCTCAGAATCCCTCCGTGTGTGAAAAGCCACATGCTAATGTCTCACCACAAGACGGGCAAGCTGTTCCCCAGTGTGGTCCTCCCTGGAGACAGGATTGTGGGGCACGATCCCTCCAGTTCAGCCTGGCCGAGCCAGCCCGGGGCGAGGACAGCAATAGCCCCTGTTCCCCAGTGCTTCCTGCACATTCTCCTGGGGAGAGAACAAAGGAGGGCTGGGCTCCAAGTCTCTGCAGGGTTTGAGCCCAGCCCG